CCTTCACTACAGGGTTTTTTTTTTTTTTTTTTTTTTTTGTAGAGGTGCCGGTTCTTTTCTACGGTCATGCAGAATTCCGCTTTGGCCATGGCGACCTTGAACGCGTTCCTCTGCGTAGGTCTGGGTTCTGGGATGGGCCTGGTTGTTGGGATCCCTTCCGCCCGCTGGTCGTCGACGCAGCCCGTCGCTCCTGCGTCTGGGACTCCCTTCGTCAGCGAACTACACACGTCAGGCGATCGGGATCTCCCTGTCAACAGTGAGGAAGGCAAACCGGGACTCGAGACCGCCATAGCCATCCTCAACGTCGGCTACATTGCCAAGCCGCTGGCCCGCCGCACTGGCACGGTGAACGATGATCATGATGTCCACCGCCATGGCCAACGGCGAGAGCTGGGAAAGGACTCCCAAGCCACCGGTGCAATTTTCTTCGAAGCAACGGCTCCGCGTCGACGAGCAGCTGGAGGTAGGCCTGCAGATGGAAAAAGGGGTGAAGGGGTTTCTCTCTCCCTGAAGAGGCTCTTGAGCGTCCCGCGGAGTGTGATCAGCCGCAGCTGGTCAAGTCGAGTATCCGACATCATGATGATGATGATGACGATGATGGTGATCGTCGCCACGTCCGCTGGCTCTCCCACCTCCCACAGCTCTTTCTCCACCACCTCCCACAGCTCCTCGAGCAGCTCCATGGCTACGTCGTCCTCTTCGTCAGACTGTGAATCCTCCTCCTCCACATGCTTCATCCCTCCTGAGAGGGGGCAGAGGACAGCGCGGCGACTACTCCGTGTGGACAAACTCCTTCAGGAGTGGGGGCCACCTTCCGACAATTCGCATTCCCACAACGTGTCAGATTTTAACGATGGCCCTTCACCGGCGACCGTTTTCTTTGGTTTCGGTGCTGCAACGGTTGCTTGCTTTGTACTTGGCCTTATCATTAGATTCTATTGCCCTGCATGCAGTCCAGGAGGAGGAAGCGGAGGAGGAGGACATGGAGGAGGAGGAAGTGGAGATGGAGGTTTCTGGGGAGATGGAGGTTTCTGGGGAGATGGAGGTTTCTGGGGAGATGGAGGTTTCTGGGGAGATGGAGGTTTCTGGGGAGATGGAGGTTTCTGGGGAGATGGAGGTTTCTGGGGAGATGGAGGTTTCTGGGGAGATGGAGGTTTCTGGGGAGATGGAGGTTTCTGGGGAGATGGAGGTTTCTGGGGAGATGGAGGTTTCTGGGGAGATGGAGGTTTCTGGGGAGATGGAGGTTTCTGGGGAGATGGAGGTTTCTGGGGAGGAGGTGGAGGTGGCGGGGGGAGCTGTGGCGATGGAGGTGGAGGTCGAGGTGTAGTTACAGGTGTAGTTGGAGCTGTAGTTGGAGCTGTAGTTGGAGGTGGAGGTGGAGGTGGAGGTGGAGGTGGGTGTTGAAGTGGAGGCCGCTTTTGAAGGGGGTAGCGAATGAGGTACAGAGGCTGACGGATGAAGCGAGATCGGCGGCCGGAGCTCGTCAGGCGGCTCTCCCGGGTGCTGCACGGATGGACGCACTGCCAATCTTCCAGAGAGGCGAGCCCCAGGGCCCGCACCAACTTCACCTGCATCTCAGACCGGTGTCAATCTTACGATGGCGAGCGTTAATATAATAGGAAGGGTAATAACACGTGCAGCATTACGGGAAAGAGGGAGCTTGAGAGATGGGAAGACCAAAGGTACAGCGGCTACAGCCCGGGAAACCGAAAGGAGGAAGTGAACACTCTGTACTGAAATGATGATGAAATGATGTGTCGGAGGGACGCTGGACCCGCCGGTTGACAGCAGATAGATGGAGTAGTCCCGTAGCCAAGACTTCAATCCCGGCGGTTCTCTTACCACCATAGGGATAGAGGCTTTGTGATAGGGCTTTCGGAAAAAAACAAACAAAAAAAAAACAGATCGCGTTGCCCCTAACAGATATGTTACGCTGCAAGATGCAGGCAAGCTGGCCATGAGTGTCATTCTTGAGTGCGCAGGGGCCATGCTAATCTTCTTCTCTCTCTGTCTGTGTGGTTCCAAGTTTAACAGATAGGTGAGTGATAGTCTAGTTTGATTTTGGTTAAGGTAGATTATCATTTACAGTTGAGGGTTCAGCCTCCTGATGAGTCGGTGAAACTCCGACGAAACAGGTTGTCAAAGCCCCTCGTTTGTTGTCCTCTTCTCTCTCTCTGCCTACGGTTTACCGGGCAGTTCTGTTTGTGACGATATATAGTAGCGCAGCACAGCTATGGTGCAGCCACTTTTTCGTTTGGCGATTTGATTATGTGTGATGACGAGTGTGGATGGTTCTCCATTCTCCTTGTGGCTTTAGGAATGATGACCGTCGTTTCAAGTTGAACTTCATCTAGCAGCCATGTAGTTTAGCTAGAGATTTTTCGTTTTGTTACTTTGTTACTTTCCGGAATTGACATGGGGCGAACTGTATGGATTAGGGCACAACTTCCGCTGAAAGTTATACCCTTCCTCTCGGGGAGAGAGAGAGAGAGAGAGAGAGAGAGAGAGAGAGAGAGAGAGAGAGTGTATAGCGGCCGTTAATTGCGATTTCATAAAATGTTCCTCAGAATTAAACTTCAATCAGTAATCTACAATTTAACTAAATGGCTCCCTTTTTTTTTTGGGAAAATTTGTCTGGCGCCCCTGTATTTTCCATTTATTTGCTTCCGAAATACCCTGGCGCCCCTCTGACCAGTAGTGAAATGTTTCATAAACCCCTGGCATAGTTTGGGCCTCACATGTTTTCGTAGTGCCCCTACCGGTACCCACAGCACATTTGTGTCATGCCCCTATGGGATAGCTGTTGGGCAAATTTCCGATATGCCCCTACCGGTACCATCGATCTTTTCACTGTGCCCCTGTCGCCGKTGGAGGCACTCAGGGGAATTTCCACCCGGCCTGGGAGAGCTACCGGGACATGACAGAAATTTGTGAGTGTCCCCATGTTTCTGCCATGCCCTTGCTTGTGTGCAACGACACCGGGACACTCTGGCTGCGTAATTTCACGCGTCCTGCAGCCTCCGTGCGATGCACATTATCTATGTCAATAGGCTCTCTCTCTCTCTCTCTCACTTTTGTTCCCTTCTTATCAGCGAGTGGCACGGGCGGGTTTCTTATTGCTGAATATCCCTTCCCTATTAATTGGGGGCCTCTCATCACCATGTGAAGTGCCACAGCAGCAACATAATGGTAGGGCCGTAGCTTCACGGAATGGCAAGCAGATAGTCCCCCTCTGGAAGACATTGAACACCTTGTTGTCCAAAATCTAAATTCCTGGATGTATCTGACTGCAATCATTTGTGAAGATGCAGTTGAGAGAGTTGTGGTATGAGTGTGATGTGGATG